TGCATAGTGGTGGTCTCACATTTCCTCCGGGCAGCTGAGATGTGAAATTATTTTGGAAGACATAGTAATAATCACTTTCTTGTTTCTTTTCAGCTTATTGGTATCTTGGTTTTCTGAGGAGCTCCAGGAAATGAAGTGTGTGAAGAGATGCCTGGAGTGTGTAGGAGAAAGATGAAGAATGAATCCAACTGAGGAAGAGTAAGAACCCATATCAGAGAATTCATCATCCTGATAATAAGGGCAGAAAAATTTCTCTGCTTTTACTATGTTTTTCTGTACCATTTTGGGCAACCCACTACTCCCTGTTGGGAAGAATGGGCCATAGGACCATCTCCAGGGATGTTGTGAGAAATATTTGTGCCCATTTGGCAGATAGTTGCTCAGATTGGCTCAGAGTTGGACTCTTAACTGTTCAGTTCCTGTGGAGGTGCCTGGAAGAAGGCCTTGTAGAGGTAGTCCTCGACTTACAGCCATTCATTTAGCAAGATGGGTACAAAATACATACATGCATACATATATACATACATACAAACAAAAATAAATTTGGGGTGGAAAGCACTGTTTTATGGTGGTTTCCCCTTTTTTCTGTACCCAATTTTATATTGGCAATCAGATCTGTCAAAGGCCTTGATTACAACTGTGCTTACAACTGTGTCCTCCTCTTTGAACAGAAGCTGTGAATCTAGGACTTCCAAATACTGCACCACTTCTTTTTCGATAGTGCAACCCCACCCAGAATCTATAGAATATATGCAGATCCAAAATCCACTTGGCCTTACTAGAGTTTAGTTTGAGCATTTTCTTTTGCATCCAGACTCTGATAATGTCCAGACATGAATGCAGAACTTTGATGGCATTGCTTGGTTGATCTAGTTAAAATATGCCAACGGATGACTTCACTAAAGGCTTCATTTACTGTAGATGTTCTTAAATAGGAGTGGGAAGAGTTGAATCTCAAGGCACCTTACAAATGTCTAGGGTTAGATTTCTTTCCCCACCAACACCTGGAATTGGCCATAACGATAAAACTATTACAATGCTATCATTCCACTCCAAGTGTCTATGGAGATTGTCAATCATCCGATTGACAATTTTGGGACTGTTGTCCCAGATGTTTTTCAAAAGGCAACTGGACTTCCTTGTTTTTTTAAAGTTTCATTTCTCGCCCAGTCAGCTTTACTTCTGATTGGTGAGGTTAAATCCAGGCTTTTAACTTGACACCAGATATTTATTGGTAGGCAGTGCAGCAGTGGTGAGATTCAAAATTTTTTACTACCAGTTCTGTGGGTGTGGTTTGGTGGCTTGGTGGGTGTGGCAGGGGAAAGATACTGCAAAATCCCCATTCCCTCCCCACCCCACTAACCTGCTTTCCAGCTCTGTTCTCCTGTGCAGGGCAACAAAAGAAGACCCCAGCCAATCAGCTGGGACTCGGGAGGCAGAGAAGAGATGGGGTGGGGCCAGTCAGAGGTGGTGTTTGCTGGTTCTTCGAATTACTCATAATTTCCGCTACCGGTTCTCCAGAACTGGTCAGAACCTGTTGAATACCACCTCTGCAGTGTAGCAAATGGAGAATCATGTTCAGCAATGCTGGCATTCTGATTGCTTCATTTTGTACAAACTATAGATTCTGGATTATTATCAGAGACAGCCCAATGCAGAGCATACTACAATAATCTTAAGCATGTGTGATGATGGCATTAACCAGTGTTATCAATGGAATTTCATAGTTCAGGTGGGTCACAATTAGTGGATTCACATAAACTGGGGAAAGGTCCTCCAGCCATAGCTTGCTGTTCTAGGACCTATGGATCCAGAAGGGCTAGTGAATTGCAGATCTGCTTTTTCAGCTGGGGTGCAGTCCTGTCCAAAGCAATTTGCTGGAGTGGTCAATAAATGTGTTCCTGGACAAACGATAAGTTTTTGTTGTTGGAATTTAACCTGTTTTTACCATGCTTGGGAATACAAAGCTGCTGAGAAGTCTAATAGAACTTCTAATAGAATAGAAGAGGGGCAAATTCCCATTTTCTAAGCCCTAATCGTCTACCCTAGTGATCCATGAGTATTTCCATGCTCAGACCAGAATCCAAAAGGGTTTCAGATAACTCATTTAAAATAGGATAATCTGTACAATAGCTGATTCCCAAATAGCTTCTAAATTTTGTTAGAACAGGAAGATTGGAAACTGGGTTAAACTTGCAAGAATGGCTAGATAAAGAGGTGGCTTCTTCAAAATAAAATGTATCACTCCCTCTTTCAAAGCCTATGGATCTTCACTCTCTCAGAGAAATATCACCACTCCCATATTCTGGACAATAATCTTTACAATAATATTCAGTGTAATGTGGAAAATGATAGTTATTTCTTCCATCTCATCTGCTGCTCCACATTTTGTGAATGTAGATGAACAATCCTTGTCTGTGTTTGTGACCTTTCTAAGACTTGTTGGAAGGGATTATACGGATAGACCAATAATTATTATAAAATAATTTCAAGAAGAAGCCAAAAAATAAATTATAATAATCCAATATTGGAGAAAGTGTTGGTTAATGATATTAGAAAGCTATTTTTATGTATAAATATAGGAAGACCTCTTTTATTGTTTAGTCATATGGTTACACATGGTGGCAGCTACCAGTTTTTCTGACAACTTCAGGAAGAATTAAGCATGAAAGAAGTGGTGATGTGAAATATTCTACAGTTATCTATACATCTGTATCAAAATGCATTCTGTACCTACCATGCTAAATGACAAAAAAGTAACAATCATACTATGAAATATTAGCTTCCCACATCACATAAAATTCATTAATGAGAGACTAGCCTCACCATCTGAATGGAGGCCATTTGGATTTAGAAAATTTGAAATCAAATTTATCAGTTCCAGTTTCTGTAAATCCCAAATGGCATGGCCTATCAGGCCTAGATTTTTAGGAAGAATTTTTTCATGTGATGAATGGGAAGAAGGCAAAGGTTTAAGCTTTTGACAGAAGCTTGGATTCTCCATCGCTAGAGATTTTGAGGGATAGGCTGGACATGTTTAAACAGGTTTTCTTCCACATTGCATATGATTGGAATAGATGAGCCTTGTGATACTTTCCAATTTGACAATTCTATAACTTTATAATTAATCCATTTTTGCTAATAATTGTAAGTCTTTGTTCTGATTTAGTGGGGTGGCTGATTCATATGTGTCTCTCATGATCTATTTCAGTTCATTTTTAAGCAAAAAAATCACATGAAAATCCAGAAAATCCATTAGGCATGAGGATTTTTTTTACACAGCATTCCACCATGCATCCTGGACACAATTAACAAATAACACATAAGGTGTCTTCGTATTTCTGATTATAATATTTCATTCAGATTTCAGACTATCTATGGATGTTTGAAAATAATTACTCTCCCTTTCAATTCAGGAGTGGTTTAGTGATCAATGGGTGTGAATTATGTGTGTCACATCTCTGCACTGTGTAATTTCCTCCATCTATATGATTTCTGGAAAATAATCCTTCTTCTGAACACCAATAGAATGTAATATTACAGAGATTGATATGTATAAAACAAACTATAGAAACTATACATGTTTTCTGGAATATTCAACTGCCATCTAGTAGTACAAAAATTGTCAGGATTTTCATATCACCACTGCATTTTGTGTAACATTTAGAAAATAAGTACAATACTACCCAACTGTGATGACCAGATTGAGTGACAGTAATTATACAGTGATTTGATTGATCAGAGTTCATCTTTGACTTTGGTAGCTTTTTTCTTCTTTTCTTTCTTGGTCTCTTTTCCCTTTGGCTCCTCTTCTTTAATATTTTTAAACGCTGCATCTTGTCCTTCCCGTCTCCTCCATTCCCTCTCCTGTTTTGAAGAAGAAATTATATATAATTAATAAACTCAAACCTGAAACATTTTGATGATCAAATTCTATTGTTATATAGAGTTCTGTCTTTAATAAAATATAGTTTTTAAATCAGAATAACAGAACAGAATAACAGAGTTGGAAGGGACCTTGGAGGTCTTCCAGTCCAATCTCTTGCTCAGGTGGGAAACCCTACACGATTTCAAACAAATGGTTTTTAATTCTTAAAAACTTTCAGTGTTGGAGCATTTACAATTTCTGGAGGCAAGTTGTTCCACTAATTAATTATTCTAATTAGTCAGGAAATTTCTCCTTAGTTCTAGATTGCTTCTCTCCTTGATTAGTTGCTATCCATTCCTTCTTGTCCTGCCTTCAGGTGCTTTGGAGAATAGCTTGACTCCCTCTTCTTTGTGGCAGTCCCTGAGATATTGGAACATTGCTATCATGTCACTCCTAGTCCTTCTTAAAATTAATAAATTGGATCTCATTTTAATACTATTACAACAGCAAAAAGTAAAAAAGAATTATAATAATACATCCTCTTACAACTATGGTAAACAAACTTTACAATTAATAATTTGCAACTACTCTCTACATTGTTAACGTCCTGTAAAAAGATGGTGTTTGAAATGAACACCTAATATCAGAACTATCATTAAAAAAGCGTAACGAAGAATGTTATTCCTGCATCAACTCAGAAAGTTCAAACTGCCCAGGACCTGTTGATACAGTTCTACAGAGGAATTATTGAGTCTGTCTTTTGTAATTCAATAACTGTCTAGTTTGGTACAGCAAACAAACAGGACAGGTACAGACTTCAATGGATAATCAGGACTGCAGAAAAACAACTGCAATCAGCCTGCCTTCCATTGAGGATCTGTGTATTGCATGGATCAGAAAAAAGACTGAAAAAATATCAAAGACCACTCACATCCTGGACATATACTGTTTCAAGCCTTCTCAGGACACCACTACAGGGCATTGCATGCCAAAACAACCAGATACAGAAACAATTTTATTCCCTCCTGCCATCACTCTACTGAATTCCCACAGCACTGTCTTGTGTCTATTTACCCATATAGTATGACTATTATATTTCTCATCTTTTCAACTACCTTCTCTTATTGGTATCATTATTATGATTATTATTACTCTATTGTTTTGCACATACACTCAGAGCTTCTGCATCGGAGACAAATTCCTTGTGTGTCTAATCATACTTGGCCAAATAAAGCATTGTGTTGTGTTGCATTCTATTTTATTCCTATTCTGTTCTGTTCTATTCTATGTTGTTGTTCTGTTCTACTCTATGCTACTCAACACAGGTAGCATGCAAACTAAACTTTACAAACCCAAATAATATTACACAAGTTCAGAATATTTTCTTAGCTTATTCAATATCAATAAATGTAAATAAATATCAATAGCTAATTTTAAAAACTGATTCTAGCAGTTCGTAGCAGTTTGATTATTCTCGCTTTATCATATTTGCCTGCTATTTGGTCAGTTTTTCAGAAAGCATGCTATGCTGCTTATGTTGTGATGTTATAAAAACAGCACTGAGCAGGAAGGTTTTTTTGAAGTACAGCTACATAATTTATAAGAAAAGCATAATAAAAATAGTTACTCTTCTCTTTTTCTGTTACAGCCATATTGCTATCCAAGTAATTTATGTGGAAGATGGATAATTCAATTAATAGGATTTATGTACATATTGTTTATTCCTCAACAGAATCAAGCTCGTGATTTTATAACATTCAGATTATTTAATCCTCAACAGTTCCCTTCATGGATTTGGTCACATATACAAGCAATTGAAATTATGTAAGGATTGGACTAAATTATGTAAGGATATAGCCATGCAGCCTACCTCTTCAAATCCCACTTTCCTTCGTTTTTTTGAACATCTGCAGGAGAGTACTTATGATCTCCTGGACATGATCTTCCACACAATTTAAATGGGTTCCAGATTATATGTACAATTATGTACAGGCTCAAGCTTTACATTTACATTTTTTTTCAAGATGGGAAGAGCAAGGGACAAAACATGATGGAGCTAATCTGTACAAATCTTCCTTCTTCAGGGTTTAATGCTAGCACACATTCAGACAAATATTTAAATGAGCATTTTGCCCTATTATCTTCCACATAGACAATAATAGGTTAATTGCTAAAAGAATTCAGCAACAATATGTTGTGACATGGAGCCCATTCACTATTCCAATTACTTGGTCATACAGTTAAACAGGAGTTTCCCTTCAACCTTATTGTCTGTTTCTACCTGCAACACTTAGTAATCACTGAGCTTTTTGGTTATGTAAGCAATTGTACCCAGGGTATCAACATGGGAAGTGTTGGAAGTGTTAAATATTGTCTAAAGCTGTTTTTACTTTAAAAAATGCATACATTCAATCACAGAGCATAAGGAAATTAAGAATAATTATGTACTGTGATTAGATTTATACACAAATCAGTGAATCCTTCTATTGCATACGCAGCCTTCTATTTTTTTTACAACACTGTGATTTTGGCAATTTATTACATTATGCTTTATTTTAATAATATCTATATAGTGCCTAATACTCATAAAGATGGAGGAGCAATTTAAATGTTGCAATAAACATACATTATGAATTGCCCTGAAATTACTTACAAAAGTGACACCCCACATTTCATTCCCAGCGTCTTCAGCATATTGTTCATCATTTGTAATAAGAAAGTTATCAAATATTGTACCAGATTTCCCCTGTTGAAATAAAACACAGCAGAACTAGTCATGTAATTACATATAATCTTGTATTAAAGGAACTGGTAATAGTTAGCTTTGAAAAGACCAAGAATGCATTTGATAGCACTCTCCATCTATCTGCAAGAATGTGATAGTTCAAGATCTGTTCTCTGTCATACCAGAACAGAAAATAAAGGTTTTGATTTATAAGATGATAATGTTTCCAAAAATACTTCCTAACAATAAGAATAATTCAACAGTGGAGCCATGAAGAATGGACAAATTCTCATTCACTTATGTTCAAACAGAAGCAAGACAATAATCTGTCTAGGATACTTTAATCTGGATTCCTACACTAACAAGTGGATGATTTGAGGATGAATATTTCACAACTATTAAATAAAGTAAATATATTTCTAAATAAATGAATAAATAAATACGATTATGAATATTTTTGTTTTCCTAGGCTAAACAATGTATGGCTAGTCCTTGACTTATAACTGTAATTGGGGGTCAGAATTTACAACACTAACCAATGTGGTTGTAAAGCACAATTGCATTGCTTAGCAACAGAAATCCCTGCAGTTCTGGTTACTGTTAACTGAATCGTTAGGTCATCCTGCTGGCTTCCCACAACCAACTCAATGGCAAAGGCAGTAGGAAGGAGGTCAATAAGCAAGGGGCTGCTGCATGGATGAGGAAGAGTATGCATGTGGGGGCACAAGAATGCAAGGATGTGCTTCAATGGACAGGGAGGGTATGGTAGTGTGCAAGGACGGCAGTGTCATAGTAGACTCAGATTTGGAGTCAGGGGAGGGCAGGATGATGAGCAGCCAGTTCTGAAGCCACCTCCAGACATGCCAGCAGTAATATGAGCAGCTAACTTCAGCACCACTGGACAGACTGCGAACTGAGCAAACAGAGAGGTAGTCTGGCCAGCAACCAGCAGACATAGCTGCTGTCATTCTCCAAAGATGAGGATGTGAAATTACCACCTCCTCCCATTGCAAGCGCTCTGCAAGTTGCAAAGAGCAAAGGCAAGACTGCTCACACAGAAGCTATACTGGGGCTGCTTCTGGTAGAATGGAGCAGCAAACATAAGCTGTCTGTTGATTCATAGTCTATGTGCCTTGACTTATGAACTTTGTAACCTTGTCTTTGAATCTGAATCGGCTGACAAATCTTCTACAAGCTCTGACCCTGAGACTCTGCCTGACAACGCTCTGGCTTGCTGCTTTGAACTGGAACTCTCATAAGCCCAGCTTGCTGAACTTTGGAGAAAACTTATCTCTATCCTGCAACTATGTGTGTTTGCAAGTTTCATTTAGTAAAACGAACAAAATAATCTCTTTGTGTACTTGTGTGCACTTGGTCTGGAACAAGAGATTTTGAAGGAGGCACGGGGAGGAGCATCACAGCCATGCCTCATTGCCAACGGATGATCGGCACGCCGCTCTGTTGCTGCTGTTCGAAGAGACCGCCATCAAAGAAGCAATGCCGCTCCGCACACCATGTTTCAGTGCCCACCAAGTGCACGGACATGATCCGAGCAATAGTAGATTTGGGAAGGAGGTATGGCAAGGACTGGAGAGGCTTTATGACTGTGAGCAGGAGGATTGGGGAGGGTGTGCAAGTGAAGCATGGTGAGGCTTAGAGTGCACAAGGCGGTGAAGGAGTTGCATTAAGGCTCGGGGAGGGTGCACAGTAATGTGTGAGATGCACTAAGGAGGAGGATGCATGGAATACACAAGTGGCATGGTGATGCACAGGGAAGATGCACAGTGGGGTTCAAGTAGCAGATATGGCACAGAGGGGCTAAAGCATGGGTAAGGCAGACTTCAGGAACTTGTGACCTTTTCTGCTGGCTTCCCCATTTACTCTCTGGAGAAGCCAGCAGGGGGGGTTGCAAATGGCGAAAGGGGGGGTGCTACAACTGGTCATAAATATGTGATCATGTGATCAAGGACGTGCTGAACAGCCAGAGATCTAAGGACCAGTCAAAACCATCATTTGTTCACTGCTATTGTAACGCTGGATTTATGGTCATAAGTCAAGGACTATCTGAAGGGTTTTTTTCATTTTCTTACTATGATGGTATAGAATATCTCCAGAATTGCCAGTTATCTTCATAATTTGAATAATGAATCTAGTTTGCAAACTTTCTAATATACATACCTGTAAAATTTCTAAGCCAATGACACTAATATTATAATATTTGTAAATATTAGGATCTGGTTTGTATTCAGGGTTGTCAACTTCTGGCTGGACCCAAATGCCATTATAATTGGGGTTTTTAATTATACGAGGTTTCCAAATGCCCTAAAAATGTAAAGAAATTTTAATATCACAAAGCTACTTAAACCAAGATATGTAAAACAGGCTGAAATCTATTGAAATAAAAGTAACACCTGAATTTCACTGAATTTTTAGTGAAATATTTTGAAATATGGTTAAAACTTTTAAAGTGTTTATTATGCTAAATGCTATCTACAACTACCTGTGTTTCCCCGAAAATGAGACGTGGTCTTATATATTTTTTTGCCACCAAAGAAGGCACCAGGTCTTATTTTGTGGGGGTGACACTGACTCACCCTCATGGCAGCAGCACTGACAGACCTGCCCAACAGGAGCCTGCTGCCAGCCCACTTCTTCTGTAACAGAGCTCCAGATTGATTGGCTGCAGAGGCCTTTCCAGAAAGATCTCTAACAGCAAAATGGAAGTCAGGAGTACCACGTGCGTCAATCCAGACCTAGTTTCTCAGCTGCAGAGGCATTTCTGGAAGACCTCTGATGGTGAAATGAGGCAGGGGTGGGGTGGGGTAAGGGCATCACACATGTCAATACAAAGCCTGTTTCTTGGCTGCAGAAGCCTTTCCTGAAGGCCTCTGACAGCAAAACAGAGCCAGGGGCGATGCGCGCAAGTGGCAGCAAGCAGCTGCAGAAGGAGTGGGCCAGCAAGGCAAGGCAGGAATGGGCTGGCAAGCAGGTGTCAGGGTGTGCGAGGCCTGGTAAATAGGGCATCTCCACCTCCCCATTCCCACCCTAGCTTAATTTTTACCCGTGCGTCTCATCCCATCCCATGCACCTTGGAGCGGGCGGGGTCTTAACTAGGGTTTATTTTGGGGCCATGTGTAAAAATCAAGCTAGGGCTTACTTTCAGGGTAGGTCATATTTTTGGGGAAACACAGTATTTATATGATGGAAATAATAAAAATGACAATAGGAAAAAAAGGCCTAATAGAAGATGTTGGAAGGTAATGTAGCAACTAAAACCAGAAATAAATATACAACTAGATTTATTGTCAGTTCTGAGAAGTGAGTATTTTAAAATGAAAAGTTGAAATATATACAACTATTTGGTAGGAATCCAATGTAGGTAATGAAGGGTGGCAAGTAATAAATTGGGATGAGAAAAAAGCCCACAGAAGTTTAAATAGGTAGTATTTAAATGGTCAACGCCTAATAGCATGCTAATGATAATATGGTTTGGAAGTTTGATAGCTATTGTAATTTGCAACGCATGATTTATAGTTCAACATATAAGCAGGTTATGGCTTATTCATCAAATTATGCTTAAAGAAACATTAATTCCATGTGTGAAGCTACACACTGAAAACCTTTCCTCATAATTTCTAGCCGAGTGGAAGGGAGCCACACCTCTCCTCCTTGGCTGGTCTAAACTCTCTTCCCCGAAGGCAGCTGCAGCAGTCGTCAGAAATGGCCACCTCAAAGAAGACCCTGATTGGATAAGATTGTGCAGGAGGAAGACAAAGAGGAAAGAGGACAGACCGGGCTAAACAACAGAGAACATCTAAGCAAGGTACCCTGAATCTAAAAGTACTTAGAGGGATACTTCTGAAAGAAGATTTTTAAGCGGCGAAGGAGAGAGAAAAGGAGGTTAAAACCCCCTTTTTTTATCTTTATATTGACAATTACAAATGATATGGAAAGAAATTTACATTAATCTATTTTGACACTAATAGGCAACTTTAAGCTGAAATCTAAGTGTCAAAAGGAGAATAAAGATATTTTTTTTGGATCATTTTAAAGCCCTAAAAAGGAGAAGAGTGGAGGCAAAAGAGTGGGACTTGGAAAAATAGGGTGCCACCTGGAAAAATAAAGAGGATTAACAGTGAAACTTTGAAAAGACTCCCGAAGATACATTGTAACTGAAATCTTATTAAAAGATACAGTAACCCACGGAAAGGAAAAGGAAAGAAACAAGAAGGAACAGTCTGGGATCATTTGGTGATTTTAAAAAAAAAGTTTTTGGCATTGTTTTTTTTTTCTTTTTCTGTTTTTACAAAGTCAATTGGGTGGTTGTTCAAAAGTGTTTAAAATTGCATCACTCCTGGAGGAATTGAAGATGAGTCTTAAAAAACAGAAAGAAGATGCAGAAAGGGGAGGAAGATCCTTTGGCTTTGTATTTGAATTTTTTGAAATGGAGATCCTGAACTATGAAAAACAAAAGGAAAAGCTTCAACAGCAAGAAGAAGGGCGGGACAAAGAAGAAGCCATTTTCAATGATCAAATAATGCAAAGTGTGGTAAAAAGGGAGAAAAGGGGGAAAGGAGTTAAAAGTTTGAGATCAAAGGGAACAGCCAAAAAGAAAAATAGTCTGAAAAAGAAGTATAACAGCAAGGAGAAGCAGAAAAGAAAACTACAGAAGGGAAAATTAGAGAGAGAAGGGTATAGAAAAGGGGATGAGAAAAAGGGGAGGAAGATAGAAAGGGAAATAACTTATGAGGGACAAAAGCAGGAAATAAAGAAAAAGGGGAAACGTACTAGGATTAAAGATATTTGCTCAGCTAGAAAACACAGAGACAATGGCTAAATTAAGTTAAAAGTGAGGATTCTGCAAAGATACAAAAGATAGTGTTGTAATAGTAGAATACTGTAATGAGTTAGAAATGAAATAAGTAAATAATCTATGAGATAAAACTGTATCGTTATGTAATGGTATATTTATAATTAATGCAGGGAGGGAAACTTTGTAATTGTTTCTAAAGATTTATAAAATATTGAAAAGAAATGTGAAAAGAAATGTGAAAGATTTATAAGGAAATTTATACCAGTTACTAGAATGAATTTGAATAATTATTTTGCTTATTAATAGTAAATAATTTATAAGGTAAAACTGTATGACTATCCAATGGTATGCGTATTAACAATTAACGTAATAATGAAGAAGGGAGGGAAACATTTCAATTGTTCTCAAAGATTGATAAATATTGAAAAGAAACGTGAAAGATTTACAAGGCTCATACCAGTACTAGAATGAATTTGAACAACTATTTTGTTTACTAATGTTTATATATATATAATTGTTTTTGCTATGTTTTTAGAATTTTTCTTTTTACATTTTCAAGGGGAAGTACCAAGCAGAGTCTGAATTATGAGATTTACATGATATAAAATAGATATTAGAAATTTGAATGTTATAATTTTAGAATGCACAAATTTAATGTTTAATGAGATTTCATATGATAACAATAAGACTTAAAGGTGTTGCACTCCAATTGGCAATCATAGGGGGAATTTTGCTTTTTAAGAATGTTGGAAGAGAACATACGAAATTGTAAACAAGACAGACGAAAGTATAAGTATAATGAATAAAAAGATATAGAAATTTAGGTAAAAGAAATACAATTGAATAAAAAGAAAATGAGATAACCATAAAAGAAAATTAAGAGAAGTAAAGGGAGAAATAGTGAGAAGCTGGAAAAAGAGTAATAAGATATGAAGTTGAATACATAAGGTGAATATGCATATGAAATTGTGTCTGTATGGAAATGTGATAACCCGGAACCATGCTGTACTCAAATAAAATGTTTTATTTGTTTTGTTAAAATTCAATAAAACTTTGTTAAAAAAAAAAGAATACAAAGCAGTGAAGGTTAAAAAAAGTTAAGTTGCTGTAAAAACAGAATTTTCATCATTGAGCTGAGGTTATTCTACTGATGAGAAGTTAATGTTTGGAAGGGTATGCAAGGTCATGAGATGCCTCAAGGATTGGACGATGGTTGTTTAAAAAATAAAGAAAGCATGAATTAATTATCAATAGAGGTAAGGGGTGAAGAATGATGAAGCCAAGTCTAAATTTGTAATTGAAATGGACAAATGAAAACTATTGAAATGAAGACTATGATGATTTATATGATAATAAAAACTAGATTCAATATCTTATAGCTTAATTAATGTTTAAATTACATATGCAATTAAATAACCACCAAGTTAGTCTCTATTTTATTACTTTCACTTATAAAACTCTTACTTTATATTCAGGATTTGAAATCAGTGGTGGTTCCCATGCCCCATCCATTTCTTCATCCCAGTCATCTGGCTTTAACACAGTAGGATCAGGAATTCTTTGTGGTTGGTCCCAGTCCTAAAATGGTTTCATCAAGGTTACTAATTGCAATAATTAGCTTCTATGAGTATTTTGACAGGACACAAAATTAGTATTATTTCTCCAAAATATGGTTTGCATCACGGCTTCAATAATTTTATTCTGATTCATTCAAGAATCAAGATACAGTGTTTTATCATCAAATATCTATTTGAAAGGATTAGTTGCAATATTTTATTATCTCAACACTCAAAACAAGAAACTTGATAATAAATGTATTGTAATAGATATTTGCTTCAATCCAACCATTTTATTTTTCACATGATGGAAGATTTATGACTACAGAGTGGCAGCTACTAGAAACCTTTTATGTACCTCTGAATTTGGAATGCTATTAATGTAACTCCAAAAGCAGTTTTGAATGAACCTGTAATGGGCAAGTTGCTTTTCTTATTTACAAAAATATGTTCAGGAATTCACTGGATTGTTATTGGAGGCTTATCAGACAACATGTTTAGCAATTATGCCAAATATAATTTACCTTTATACTGCTCACATTATTTCATCACTGACTGTCTAAAGTTAGTTATACTTTTTGTGGGTATTAGAAAGGTTAAATACTAGTCATATTTTGTTGTAAAAATCTTGTACTGATTTTAGAGTTTACAGTCTAGTCCCAATTCCTCTGCTACGAAGTTAGATCAAAGAAGCTCCACTTAAACTATAAATCTTTACGAAACACCCCCTAATGATCACATATTGTTGTTATAATTAAGAATCAGTAACAGTTCCAACTTCATTGTTTTCAGTGTGTGCAATAAAAGACTATAAGTGAAACACAGCAGGCAAATTGATATAGACTGAAACCATGCAGTTCAAAGTGAAACAGTACCTCTGGTTTTTTATCCATGGGATCTGGAATAGTTTCTCTTTCATCCCAATAATCAGGTTTTGGCAAATCATTATCTATTATCTTTTTTGGAGGCAGGAAGTCCCAATCATCTTCTAGATGGCCAGCCTCAACCACATAATTATCTATCTTCACTTCATAAGTTAAATCAGGACGTAGAATTAGAGTGTAGAGATGGGTAAAGTCATCAGTCTTGAAAAAACAAACAAACCAACATTGTTACAGAAACATGGGAATGTCTTTCTAGTGCTGTACAATTGACAGTTTTGCTAATTAAATTTCATAAGGTCTGAAATAATAAGTCTGCTACTAGTGTAATTATCAGTGCAGTGCCAAGAAAATGATAGTCCTAGGAAAAAAATCACAATTTTTTGTTGCATTAGACTACATGCAAATAGTTAATTCTGTAACACTCTACTAAAACATTAAAATGAGGGGTATTAACAGTAAATACCGTACTTGCTAACTTTTCAGATGACTTGCTGTTAGCTTCTGACATTTGGAATGGTTAACATGTTTTATCTAGAATTAGTCAACAATCTCCCAAATAATTCTGCTTAAAACTGCAGCAAATTAGATTAAATATTAGTAATTCACTGAAAGACATTGATCGTACCTCACATGTAATGTTCTTTTTAGTCAAATAGTAGTCATCTTTATAGTTCAAAATAACTTGCACTATCTTTTTATACTTTCCACATATATCAGGTCCTAGAAGAAAAGAATACCAAATTACTCTGGCAGAATTACACACACACACACACACTCCTAAAAGGCCCAAGAATGATAATCAAGGAGAATAAAAATGGGCACAGCATTCCAATCTTGTTTCCGCCAGTCATCCATAATCAATGTTGTTTGAGTCCAAATTCAGGTTTGAAATGCATCTTGAATGAGTTCAGATAATCTACTGTCTTCAGCGATCTCAGAAACTATATTGTCCCCTCAATCTACATTTTCTTATAGGATTTATTTTAGAAACCTATAGCCTCTCTTTTTCCACTAGCTAGCTTGAACTGATACCATTTTAGAAACGATGCTATTAAATAATTAAAATAAAAATGAAAATCCATGTGAAGAAAACCTGAATTCCAAAATCTATACATTTTTGTCTTCTATCAGTAGACAAATACTCAATGATATTAGCCTGTAAGTTTAAAATATGCCTATAAAAACATATTTTTTTCACATAAGCAATAATAAATTTGTGGCATGGACATGCCAATATATTGATAATTGTGTACAGTATCTGCATATTCCTAAATAATAACTATGATTTTAATTAGAATTTCCAATATGGAATACTCTTTGACATACAAATAGGGAAAATTGTTGACTTTATATCCCTCCCAGTGGGTTCCTGAAATTATCTAGCTGCCATGGTCAAAAAGAAGATAGTATACTAAACCAGAGCCCTAACATTATCCAGCAAATCTCTTCATATTGTTATATAAATCTTACTATAAAACTCATTTAACTCATTTATAAATATAAGGGAACAGATAAAAAATATTGAAAAGTAATGTCTCAGAGGAGGTCATTTCCTGTGAGATTTACACTAACATAATATTTCTACTTCTTATTATTAGGCATTTAAGAGAACATACCGAACATAATATAGTAAGGTGACTCTTCATTCAGGGTGTCTTGATTCACATCGACAGAAAAAAGTTTGATATAGGCTCCACCACAATCAACCTGCTGGTCATATTTTACTGTATATTGAACTACTAAGGTCTGATTTTCATTATTGAAAGGTCGAAACCTTGCTGATACTGCATAGTACCTAATGTCTTGAGTTGTCTGCAGACCTATAAAAAGAGATGATATTCAAATATCCAAATAGTGCTACTAATCAAGTACTTTGCCACAGGCATGAACCTGTATTATTCTTCCATATGGGATTACAGTGACTTTCTAAAAATTATGAGATAATATATATCTCCTTGATTCTGCTTTAAAGACATGTGAAATATATTAATAAATGTAGCTTAGAAATACATTATTATAATTTCACTTGCTACTTTTTTCCAAAAGTATTTCTATTATCACATATAGTGTGTAATATGTTATTACATCATAATATAAAATAGTTCTGATAAAGAAAACTCTAGAAATTAAATTCATTTCTAATGCATTACTGTAGATATCTACTCAGAAATAAGTTTTATTGAATTTAATTACATATCTTATCAGGTACCTGAGGTTACCTGCTTCTTAGGTAGCATGTAAAGAATTGCAGTTTCATTATGATTGATGTATTATCTATGTATATATAACTAAAACTGTTGTTACTACATTAACTGGGCAAAATGTGCATCATAGAGCAACTATTTTTGAACTGGGGTACCCGGACATATTGAATGCATCGAAAAACCTGTCCTATATTTCTTCACAACAATTCTGTGGGGCAGGATGGGAGGAAAGTCATCAGTGAGCTGCTGTGGCTGCAGATAGAAATAGAGTAGAAATTGGATCTCTCTGGTGTCAGTCAAGTATATTAGCCATTACATCTAAACCCTTGCCCATCTTGTTTCATTTTTCAACTGCTTCCTACTCTGAAATTCGCTTTATATTGGCCCCTCTTTCAGTTGCCAGGAGATCAGGTAGATTGGTTCTGCCCGAGCCTTCAGGAGATCACATGATCCTTTTTTAAACAATCTCTGACAGCTTCTTGCAACTCAATGAAGAAGCTGACAGAGATTCAGAACTATTGAGTTGAGAATGCCAATGCACAACATTGTGGTAATAAATAATTAAAATAAATTTTCAGTTAAATTAATTGTCAACATAATTATGGCACATGAAAAGAAACGGGGACATCATGGTCAAGAAATAACACTTTATGTTTATGGCAAGGAAGAGAGATGAAGAAATGGAGAATGAAAGGGGCTGTACATTTCCAGTATCACAAGGTAACATATAGAATGAGGAGGCAAGAAAAAATAGAGAAAACAGAAGATCAAATCAAGAATATGTGTAATATGTGGCAAACATTAATTACTCTGAGAGTTCCTCAACAAGACCTCAACAGAAAGTGAGGCAAAATGCATGACTTTCATAATATTTCTTTTGAGTTTGATACCACAGCCAAAGTCTGCCCTCATTGTCATTTATTCCTATTCCCTAGATAAACTTGGAATTTCTGCTATATGAAGGGAAAGGTCAGGATAGGCAATTTGCAACCTCTACCCAATGAATACTCAATTGATACAGCAATGAGTAACCTAGAGCAAATAGTTTGGGAAGAACATCAGACAATACAACTGTCTTTTCCAGACAGTGGAGCCACCAAACCGGGTGACAAGAAACTGTCCCAAAGCATGACAGCATTTTTCTGAAGACTTATTTTCAAATTTGAGAGACATTTGATATAGTGCATTGTAGAATTGAGAGGGACCCCATTTTTAAGTAAAGGAAGGAAATAATCCATTCAGATATAAGACAACCTGTACTGTTAAAGTATATTTTTTAACTGAAACGTGTAATGGTAGAATAGCAATTGGACAACTAACATGGATCAATTTAAAATACAAAAGCATTTGAGTTTCATGCAAAATGTACTTTGAAATTAACATCTTTAACACAAACAGTAGAATTAAGATTCATACACATACAACAGATTTCAACTGAAGATGATTAGAATTTAGTATTAGATTTTAGAGTAAAATATTCAGCTAGTTGGAATAGGCCCCAAAAGCCTTGAATCGGACCAATCAGATTTTGAAGTTCTTCTAACTCCAGATTCTGTTGTCAAATCACAGATAATTTTTTAATTTTCTTAATGTTAAAAACGATGTGATCTGGCATGCAAATTTCTCATTGAGATATATTTTTTTTGAACTATATTATGCAAATAGTGATAGAAAATAATTTATGCAGATATTTTAGCATTAGCCAAACTTATGTGAATAACTGCATAAAACTGAATAATAAAATCTAGCAATTTGTTAGGAAACTGCATTTCAAAAAAACCTAAAGTTTCATAATTGCCTGAAAAAATATTACTTTACCTTTATCTTTTTCTCTGTCACCATAAAATCTTCCTGATCCTATCCGAAATTTACCATAATCAGCTCTATGTTTAGACAGAACCCATCGTTCCTCCCATCCATCTGAAAAAGAAAAATAACATTTCAATTTTACAAAAGATATCAGAGCAGTATTATTTCACTTTCTGTGAAATTTAATTCATGTTATTGGATGTAGTATGCAATAAATGTATGATTACAATGTATATGAACTTATAATAACAAGAAAACACTTAAGAAATACAGCTCATTTATTATTGTGTAGACTATTTTGTAGCTTGATATACAAAAATTATTAAAATTACAGCTATTTTCTTCCTTGTGTATATTATATAACTTCTTTACTGCAGTATAAGAAACAGACAACAAACTTTTAAAAATAATACAAGTTTTATCAATACTACGTATAATTAAAAACAACTCCATAAAATGCATTTTATTCAGGAATGTTCAAAAGCCATCTGGAGCTTGTGATAACTGCTCCTGGACCCAAGGGACTGTAATGCATGTTGAATCATGTCTGGTGAATTGCCTGAGTTGTTCCATGTTTAAATTGCTAAATCTACAATTAAATGTGCAGAGATAATTAAAAAACCCTATATTTTTACCTATTGTATAGGAAAATCTCACTAACGGCAAAGTGTAGTTTAAGCTGAAAATAATGCAAGTAACAAAAACTTTTAGGTAGAGTAAATCTCCTAAACAAATGGATTTACAGTTGTAACAACCTGTATTGATCTTCCTAGATAAAAATAAACTGGAAAAACTGATAAAATGGGATGGTAGATGTCTGAAGGACATAGAATACATTTGACTCTATATTTTTTATCTCTTCCCTTAGTAAGAAAATATTCAAGAATTAGCCAAGCTAAATCAATCCTAAAGCCAAAACATGCATTACATAGATTTGAATTTATCATTATTTAAATTGCTACTATAAATAAAATTGCAATGTATATAGAAGTGGTTAAGAATTGACAACAAGGGAAAGAAACTGAAATTAGGATAGTTAATACAAAATGATTTATTTCTGCATAGAGAGAACATATTGTACAGATGACGTATCAATTTTGATATTTTGCTTTTTAGAAGTTACAGAAGAGGCACTGATACGTTTTTAAAAGCTTACTGTAAAAACTCTATTATTTTTTAAATAGCTGAGAATAATGATTGAAGACACACTGCATAAAGGATCCTGGACACATCTCTTCATATCCTTATCTATTCTTCTCCCTTCTCAGCATCATTCAGTAGATCTATAATATCCATCTAAAAATTCTATTCTATCTTCAGAAGAGTGTGGCTCAATCTAGACTTCTCTCTTTCTTAAACATTTCTACAGTACTAATAAATATGCATAAAGATCATTGCATGATATGATGCTATACAAAAATTCATTACATTTTATTAATGTAAAAAGAAAGAATATAAATCTGAGATTGGGTGACACTATGAAGAAGATTTAGAAGTTAATAGTTATATCCCAGAACAGAAAAAAAGCAAAATATCACTTACCCTCATCATCAAACTCTTCCCTAAAATATTCTTTTGTTATAACGGGTTGCTCTTTTTCTAAAACAGGGGAAGAGGTATCATCGTTATCATTTATATCTCCCCAAACCAGACATATCAGAAAGTAACCTAGGAAAATCAGGTTCATCCCTGATACCATATTAGATATTTTAATACAAGTGGTAGGATGCTTCTTTAAATTCTATAGAAATACTTGAGTATTTCTGAAATCTCTTCCTATTTCTCTCATGCACATCACTATAATTGCTACTTACTGGTGAGGAGACAGATCTTTTCCATTGGCTAAAATCCATGAATAATGATGCTATAGGGACCAACCAGAAAGAACCACGCAATTAAACCAACAGAAACTATTTAAAATGTCTCAGAGGAAATTAATTTTTTATGCACAGATGCCTAAACTAATTCAAATCAATTCACACCCAGGAAATACATTGACTTCCTCCTATATACAAGTCTGAAATACTATGGAGGAGAAAGCTGTCTTTCCAAAAGCTGTTTAAAAACTTTTAAAAAGCAATTGTAAATTAAATACAGTAATTCTATTCTTCCAGAATATAGTCTATTCTCTCTTTTTCCCCCCAGTAAGTTTGCAAGTTCATATTATTGTCATATGAATCTATTATTTTTAAGTGCCTTAAACTTTTACTTTCTAAATAAAACAAAACTACCACAGTATAGATGAGAGAATTTTTAAAAATCATTTCTGTTGATAACAAGTTGCTAAATTAAAATATCGCTGAGATGTTTGGGAAGTTAGAATATGATCATAACTAAGTACCGTGTTTCCCACAAAATAAGGCTGGGCCTTATTTTTTTTTGACCCCTGAAAAAACGGCTAGGCCATCTTTTCGGGGGTGACTTAATTCTCTCCTCTTGCATCCTCGGGTGGGCAGGCGGTGACAGCTTGGATGTTGACCTCGGCGTTGGTGGGGCACTTCGTATCGGGAGACCTTCCGCCACCATTGCTTTCTCTTCTCCCTTGCTGCCGCGGCGTTTAGAGCAAAGCTGCGGCATTTGGCACAGCCACATGTGGCCAGCCAGGGCTCCTCCCTGCAACCGGAGCCCGGCGGAGACACTAGGCTTCAGGCACTCCTGTCACCGCCTTCCCTTTGCCTTCGAAGGTAAAGCCAATTATTTTAAAAACGATGCCCTACTACAACAAAGCCTCCCCTGCCCGAGAGGGTAGCCCAACCCCACATGGGGAGGCGAATCTCCTGGGGCCGTAGTGCAGGATCGGCCCACCTCGGGAGAAGCGCCCAGCCGCCATCCCTACCTGGCGCTAGGCAGAGTGCGAAGATCTTCGCCTGGGGCACCCAGTGCAGCTGACAGGCGGGCCCTCCTGCCCGGCAGCAGAGCTCTCGCCAAGGCAGCGAGCGCCTCCCTGCCAGACCCTCTGTTCATCCCTCCAGGGCCACGCCAGAGCCATGTGGGCTGGGCAGAGCCAGGAAAACGAGCTGCGGGTGTGCGCCCACCTGCCAAGCAAAAGAGCCGGGCCAACCTGAACTTGGTTTCCTTCCCAAGTCCCTCCAGCCCGAACCCGAAGGGGCCACCGGGAGAGGCTGCCCGAGGCAGTGATAGCGCCCATCCGTCTGCGGACAGGGAGGCGAGGTGATGGCAGAGCTGTTTCCCTGGCCAGAGGAGAGAGCCCGAAGGCGCCCGTCCTTTCCACTCCTCGCCCAGCCCGTCCCCATGCATCTCCAAATGCGCCGGCAGCTCCAAACGCTGCAGTGGAACAGGCATCAGGCAGAGGCGCTGACTCGGCGGGGCTCAGCTCAGAGGACACGGTGCAGGTCATCGCCTTACCTCCCTGTCCACGGATGGGTGGGCGCTATCACTGCCTCGGGCAGCCTCTCCCTGTGGCCCCTTCGGGTTCAGGCTGGAGGGACTTGGGAAGGAAGCCAAGCTTGGGTCGGCCTGGCTCTTTCGCTTGGCAGGCGGGCACGCACCCGCGGCTTGCTTTCCTGGCTCTGCCCAGCCCGCACAGCTCCGGCGCAGCCCTGGTGGGATGAGCGGAGGGCCCGGAGGGGAGGCGCTAGCTGCCTTGGTGAGAGCTCTGCTGCCGGGCAGGAGGGCCTGCCTGTCAGCTGCGCTGGGCGCCCCAGGCGAAGCTCTTCACGCTCTGCCCGGTGCCAGGCAGGGATGGCGGCTGGGTGCTTCTCCTGAGATCGGCCGATCCTGCGCTGAGGCCTGGGAGATTCGCCTCCCCACGTGGGGGTAGGGCTGCCCTCTCGGACAGGGGAGGCTTTGTCGTTTTTAAAAGAATTGGCTTTACCTTCGAAGGCAAAGGGAAGGCGGAGACAAGAGCGCCTGAAACCAGGTGTCTCCACAGGGCTCCGGTTGCAGGGAGGAGCCCTGGCTGGCCGCACATGGCTGAGCCAAATGCCGCGGCGTTGCTCTAAATGCCGTGGCAGCACGGGGAGAAGGTAAAGCAACGGTGGCGGAAGGTCTCCCGATACGAAGTGCCCCACCAACGCAGGCAGCACCATATCCGGGTATGCAACAAACGTACTTCCTAATGGCAAGCCCCCCTGCCATTCCCCCCCATTTTGCATGTTTAATATAGGCCTTAATTTGGGGGAGGGGCTTAATTTGATTTTATGCCAATAAAACATGCTGGGCCTTCCTATTGGTGGAGGCTGTATTGTTGGAGAAACATGTAATTGAGAAATATGAACATGCAAAATGGAAATACAGATTAAGTTAAATATAAGGGGAATTTCAAGATGATTTTTTTCTATCACAGAAATTGAATTATAGGAAAACAGATTTTACTGAAAACTAAATTTATCTAAAAATACTTAGGACAATTTTGACATTTTAAAAGAGTCAGAAAAATCTAATGATATTTTTTTTAAATAGTCTTATTTTAATCCTTGCAGATGTTGCAGAGGAAAAAAGAACCAGTGCTCAAGATAGAAGGGCCTCAAGCATCTATACCAGAGTACCCCAATCTTTCTGGCTTTGTGGCCTGGTGGCAGGAGGGAAGGAAGAGGGGTTAGTTCCCCATGAGTGATGGGCAAGTGCATATGTGTGCAGCTCCATTTGCATAAGTGGCAGGCATGTGTGCATATTGCTTGTGTAAATGGAACACACATATTCATCTGCTGCTTGTGCAAGTGGGGATGCACGTGTGCTCGCCCGCCACTTCCATGGGCCAGTTTCAAACAGCTCAAGACCCAGTAGTGAGCTGCAGCCCGGGGATTGGAGACTCCTGTTCTACATTATCCAGTGTAGTTTTGTCTTTTTGCTGAATTACAGCTGTTGTCTGAGATTCCGGATGTTCTTGCTATAACAGTAATTTACTGCTTTCTGAGCTTTCTTTTGATAATTTGTCTTAAGATATTAAGTTCTACATGTCTTGAAACTGGCTAAGATTACATAAATTATGTCTGTTATGTTTTATCTATGTTGAACAAATCATAATGGCAATATTAACACATTTTAAGCTAGAGGATGGAATACTTTCAGTTTGGTTACTTTATCATGCAAATTCAGAAAATTAGATTAATTGGACAAGCTAGTTAACAAGTAGAGCAAGAAAGGTAGCTTCATGGAAATAAAAATTGCCAGACCATAACTTTGGTTAATAGAAGCAGGTATTATGCTTGATCAATGCTAATTTGAAATAATCAGGCTAATCTTGAAAAAGTTAAGCAAGGTTAACTGTTGAAAACTATTGAAAACATGGATAGGACACTGAGTATAATTGGGCATCATTGGGATGTCTATGACATCTTCCCCAGCACTGTAGGAATTAGATACACAAACTTTCTTTAAAAATAAATGTAATAGTGCATATAGCTTTTGTCATTTTAAGTCATTTCTCTGTGGAGTTTTAGATGCAAGAATTAGAAATCAATATATTTAAATAGCTTACCTTATCATTACTGCTGAAAAATATGTACTCTATTAATTTTAAGACCAAATGCTATTCTGAATACAGACTCTATTTTTGGCAACATCTTGGAAAAAAGGGCAAAAGTGGAAGACGATATGCTGTGTTCACAATTTGACTTTTTTATTACCATTTTCTTGGGGTACACAAATCAGACTCATAAAAATTGATCAGCTGCTTTTATCAAGTTCATACACAATATTGCGAAAAGGAGTATTTGTTTTAAAACGTTGTTGACAAATGCTGCGTGTTCTGAATCTGTACATAGCCCTAGTAATGGTATGTAAATTCTTTGAAATGATATGTGATGCATATGAATAAACATTACAAGGCTTTTACTTACTTTTCTCTTCAATGAAACTTGCAAAAGTTCTCACTGTAGAAACTATACTTTAGTCCAGCTTGGCACATTTCCACCAAATCTGCAATTTCTCCTCAAAGCTCATTTTCAGTTTGTCTGACCACTCCGCTTTCTTTATTAACATCTAAAACAAAACAGCAGCCCTGGTTTATTGATGGGAAGGATAACTTTGCTACTTCTTGCCTCAACTGCCATCTTTTCAGGGTAAGAGTTGAACTTCTGCTTTGATTCATCACTCTCACTTTCCCCACTTCCGTTTTTTACTTTCTTTCAGGGGAAGGCAGGAAAGCAGATAATATTTCCTAGAAGAGCTAAACTTTGTTCTCAAACAGATTATTTTATGGCAAACTCTTCAGCTCACCAACTCCAAGCATTTATTATATGAAAATACCGTCATTATATAATATAGTACTACAAATAATAACAACATTGATCCCTTGGAAAAAGACCCATCGACTTCTGGCTGTCGATATTAAGCACTTTTATACTCTGTTTTGACTAAAAGAAATCTTAATTCAGCAACAAGCTGAAATAAAGAGGATTTTCCCCCTTTTGGTCCTCTCTCCCCACATCTGATTTTATTCTGACGTTAATGAATTTAACATCCAAATACAATCGGTCTGGATCTCAAACGGAATGCCAACAACGTAAATGAACGTTTGCCCCAAGCAGGCAGCTTGAAATCCCAATTGATGTCCGCATCCTCGGTCTCACTGGGACGAAAGGGACCCCACACGCTCGCCCCCTTAGGATTTTTTTTGGGGGGGGGCTTTCCCACTACCGCACAGCCACACGACAAAGCCACGCCCCCTCTCTCCTATATCCCCGCCCACTTATTAGTCTCCCAACTTATTCCTTCCGCGACGGCCGTTTTGCTCCT